GGCGAGGCCGGGCGCGTCCGCACCGCCGCCCGCGACTCCCACGCCGAGCCGGCGCGCGAACCCGAGGAGAAGTTCGGAGGGGCGGAGCCCTGGGGCGGAGAGCCCGGGCGGAAAAGGGCTGGGCAAGTCAGAAGCCGCGGAGAGGGGAAAGGGAGGGGCGGCCAGGAGGGGGCCGGGTAGCGGGGAGGGGAGGCTCGGTGAGGGGACCCCAGCACCTGAAGCAGAGCGGCGGGAATTTCTTTCGGAACGCTTCGGTCAGGAAAGCCTGGCAAGGCCAGCAATAAAGTCGGAGGCGGTGAGCGGCAAGCAAAGCGCGGCAGCGCTCGCCGCAGCCTTTCGACGCCGACACTCACATGGAGACTCTCCTCAGCCGACACACGTGTTATGAGCTCGTCAAAACTCGTGCTCCCTACAGTAACAAACACGCGCTTCATCGTGGGAGTTCGTTACGCCGACTCGTGGAGCCCGGATGTGTCGTACGCGCAACGGGCGCCGCACTCCGGAAGAGGCGGGAGTCCGGAGTGGCCGCTGAGGGGCGGGGCGTCGACCGTGTGTGGGGGAGGGGGGCGGAGCCAAAGGGTGCGGAAGGCTCGTGTGTTAGCCGGTGTCTTCAGCTAGGCGTGACCAGCCTGCAGCTGGCGATTGGGATACTCAGGGTTTCCTGGGCCTCAGAGAGTGAGGATGAATTGCCTTGAGCCACGTATAGAATATGTAATATGGTTAATGTACATAACAAAAGTTCCTTTTAGAAAACATTTTTATTATACCACGGACGTTTCCACCAGCGAGCCACTGCTAGGAGACGCCCCTTAGCACCTGCTCTGTAGGAGCCGCGGAGACCTTCACTGTAGGGGGGTGGGAAATTGCCAAATGTAGCTTGTTTTGTTCAGAAGTTGTACTTTAAAAAAAAACTAGAACGTCCTGTCCTCTGTCTGGGTGCAACACAGAGAACTTTGGAATTCTTTGTTTCATGTTGAAAATTCTTTGTTTCATTATGATACCAACAATGTGCATAGTTCTTGCTCTTGTCTGCCCTTTGCATTTAGAAGAGAAAAAAAAGGCAAGGAGGCACCTGGGCTTTGTTTAGACATCTTATTGTGTGTTTACAGATGAACTTTTGCCTGGTTTGATGGTGCACGCCTTTAATCCCAGCACTCGGGAGGCTAAGGCAGGAGGGTTACTGAGATTTTAACAACAACCTTGGCTACAAAATGAGTTCAAGGCCAACCTGAACTGACCAGTGAGACCCTGTCTCAAAAAGACAAAAAAGATGGACTTTACAAACCTACCCCAAGTCCCTTTTGTTCCATTTTAGTACATGTGCTGCAAAGCCAGAGCTAAACCCCATTTTAAATCTCTTTCTCAGTAAATTCCTTTTGGCTCAGGAGAAGCATTAAATTGGTTTAAACCGTTTGTGTATCACTTGAATTTGAGGTTCCTGCTTCAAACAGGTTTCTTGTGAGTTTTTTAGTTTTATGGCGTTTTTACTTTTTGCTTGCTTGTTTTGCTTTGTTTTTTTGAGACTAGGTCTGCTCTTTCTATTCCAGGTTGGCGTTAAATTCATCAGTAGCCTCCGCTGGGCTCTAACTGGCTGGGGATCTTCCTACCACGTCCAGATTTTATGTTTTTTGTTTTTAGTTTTTTGGTTTTTTTTTTTTTTTTCCGGTACCGGGAATCGAACTCACGACCTTGCGCTTGCCAGGCACGTGCTGTGCCGCTGAGCTAAATCCCCAGCCCCCACGTCCAGATTTTATGGATTATTTTTGCCTCCTTTCCTAAGAGAACTTTGCAGACTGCCAATCAGAAACTGGTAACCCCAACATCTTGTAGACTTGCAGCTGCACATGGCTTACAACTGCATGTGCTGCTAGGAAATCTTTCGGTAAGTTAACATTGGAAGTGTCTTGGATTTTTGATAGGGTTGGCTTTTACAGACTGTCGTTCTTGTTCTTGTGGTTTAAGTCATTTGCTTAGTTGTACTTTTTCGTCTATACTGGGGACTGAACCCTGGGCTTGCTAGACAAGTGCTATGCCACCCAGCTACATCCTCAGCCCATAGATGTGCCTGTGACTCAATGCTTTGATTTATATGTGCAGGGTAATAGCAACTTTTTCTCCAGAGCTCAAATGGGTTACGTATATACTGAAAAGGACAAAAATGTATTGATGCATTTTAAAGACAAACCACTCTAAATCTGGAATAGAAAATTTTTTAAAAATTTCCATCATACCTGAAAAACTTCTTGATTAAAATGAACAAATTAAAGACAATACAATTAGATGAACAAGCCAGACACTTGATAAAACTAGGCCTCAGCAAAGTTCTTGGGGCATTTGAGAGCAAATGTCTGTGTTGTTTTTTTTTTGTTTGTTTGTTTTTCTCCGGTACTGGGAACCGAACTCACGACCTTGCCGCATGCCGGGCAGGCGCTTTTGCCACTGAGCTAAATCCCCAGCCCCAAATGTCTGTGTTTTAAAAGCTGAGTCATAAATATACTTCTAAAATATACTTCTAAAAACTACTTAAAGCCCACCTGTGTACCTGAGAAGACCTGAACATAGCATAAAAACTTCAGGACGTTGGAGCCAGGTGCAATGGTGCATATGGTAGCTGTGATCTTAGCTACTAGGATGACTCAGGCATGAGGACACCAAGTTGGAGATCAACCTGGACAATTTAGCAACACAGGCCCTGTTTCAAAATTTAAAGGGGAAAGAAAAAGAGCTGCAGATGTAGGCATCCCTGCATTCCATCCTCAGTCCTGGAAACAAAGATCTGGACCTTGAAAAGGAGATTATCATGCCCTTAAAAAAAAAAAAGAAAATCTCAGTAGTAATTTAATAGACAATATATCTCCCAAAACTCCTTGATTAAAATGTACTGTATTTCTCTATTACATTAGGATGTAAATTCACATTCAGGCTTGTGTGTGTGTGTGTGTGTGTGTGTGTGTGTGTGTGTGTGTACAGTGTAGGACTCAAACCAGAGCTTCACCACAATAGGCAAATGCAGTATCACTGAACTATAGCCCCCAGCCATCAATTCAAGTCTTTCCTGAAAAGTTATTCATTTGAAATACAAACTTTTGAGGAGAATGAGATAGCAACAGAAAAAGGAAGAGACAAAAGACCTAATTTTTGTTCTTGGCTCCAGATAAAGCCTGATAATGAGATCCATTTTTTTCTTCACATATCTCTGGTCAATTCAGGTTTAATTAAAAGTTGATATTCAGGTTTGATGTATATTTTTGAAGCCTCTGTTTTTCCTGTTAAGTCCAACTCTCTATAAATTTGAAAGCTTTTGTATTTGTCTCATAACTAAAATTTTAAAATAAAAACAGATGTTTTGGGGATTTTTATGAATACATGTGTACATATGTGTGGTACGTGGCATAGGTTTATGTCTATACAAGTCTGAATACTGTCTACATGGAATCAAATTAAGAGCTCTTATAAATAACTTGCATATATCTGTTAATGTGATTTTAGTAAAATTTGGTATATGTATTACTGATCTAATTAAACATGTCATTAACATTAATTATAATACAGACACAGATTTTTATGTTTAAGATTAGAAAAATTGTAAATTTGATGTAAAAATACAAAATTCAGTAGATATAAAGAAAACTTAGGTACACTTTTAGCAATAATTATGTTTCACAGTATATTTACTTTAGTAGGTTTCACAAATCTCTTGATAACTATACCTTTAGATCTTTCCTAGGCTGAATTATTTGATGAATATTCATTAAACTTTGACCACTTCCAAATAAGTTAAAATATTAAAACAGTAGATAAAAGAGTAGATTTGAGTTTATTATTAACTTTACACTTCTTAAAAAGGAACTGAACGTAGTTGTACCTGTTAATAAACATTTAAAAATCATATTTTGTAGGAACATATTTCTACAAAAGGACTATAAAATGATGTTAAACTACAGACTCCTGACTCACAGTTTTTAAGAGTTAAAATTCTAAGCTGGGCATGGTGGTGCAGACCTGTATGCAAGCAGGCTAAGACAGCAGAGAGTTCAAATTCAAGCCATACCTAAGTCATACCCAAATTCAAGCCATACTTAACAATTTCCTAGGAGTCCCTTGTCTTGAGATTTTTAAAAAAAAATTAAAAAGGAGCTGAGGATGTTGCTCAGTGCTAAGAGCAGGAATTCAATCTAGTGCAAAAAAAGTTAAAATTATAATTAATATAAAACTGTTTAAAAAAGTCAAGGTGGCCCCGGGGATATAGCTCAGCGCACAAGCACCTGCCTGGCAAGCACAAGGTCCTGAGTTCGATTCCGAGTACCAACAAACAAACAAACAAAAAAATAAATTAAAAAAAACAAGGTAACAGCTCTATATGCAAAAGTATACAAGAAAAACATTTTAATTTTTGTTTTTGATACCAGAAATCGAACTCAGGACCTTGTGTTTGCCAGGCAGGCAGTGTGCCACTGAGCTACATCCCCAACCCCCAAGAAAAATAAGATTTTAAGAAAATTATAAAATTGAAGCATATGGTTTTTGTTAAAAGTAAATTTGTGTAGAGACGTTTTAAAAAACATTTAATTGTGCAGTGGTAAGGAGTAAACCCAGGCTTTGGGTATGGTAGGCATGCTGTCTGCAACAGAGCTACACTCACCAGACCTATAGAGACTATTTAATTTCAAAAGAAACAAAAAAAGTTGTAAATATTTAAATGGTCACAACTAGAAACCATACTCATAAGTGAAATAAATCAAACATACATGTGCAAGCACCGCATTGTGTCACTAGTGTAAAACTTGAAAGAGTTAATTTAAACTCGGAGGTATGATAGACACTGTGAAATGATAGGAAACCACTGAAGAGTAAAGGGCTTCTGGGATGTGGGTAAAGAGAAGGGAACAAAGGAGAAATCTTGTATATATGTATATACAGGATAGATAACATGGTTGTTCTTCTGTCTTCTATTTCTATGCTGAAAGAAACTGTCAATGAGTCTTTGGTTGACCAGTATTGCATGTTTATATCTGTTTTCATGAGAAGCCACTTTGAAGATATCAATATGTAATACAACCACCATTGTTAATTCCCTACCACTTTGTTTGTAACTCTGTATTGTCTGTATTGTGCTTGTGATATGTTGTAAAATGTTGTATGTCTGTTAATGTTTCCCTCCTTTTATCTTTAAAATAAAAAAAAAAAAAAACCTCCAAAAAGAATGTTACACATTTTAAAGTTGATTACAGTTTTTAAAACTTGTCTTTCTAAAAATTAGACATTAAGACGTGTACTGCTATAAAACTAAAATTTGTTTCTCTCCTTTCAACAAGGTTTTTGTAGAGTACTGATAAAGAGTAATAAAATATTTGTTCAACTTTTGAGTACACTGCAAGATGGAAGATATTCTATGTGCAATGTGCTCTCTTTGTTAACAGGTACTTACAGAAAATTATCTTTTCTCTTTTAAAGAGTTAAGATTTTGTTTTGATTCAGCTATATACCTTCCTGTACTTTTAAAGTTT